ACTCGAACTCTGATTGCCTAAAAGGTCGCCGTACCCTACATAGGAGGAGCGGACCACAACTCCGTGTTTTCCATGGAGAGGGAGAAATTTGCCGGAGGTTCAATCGTGGCATGGTGCAAACTTTGCATAGAAACATCAACCAGCCAATCTCTCTAAGTCCCATCAATTCCTGCACTGCACGTAATATATACGTCAGTCAATTGAATTCTGAAATTCTAGTTTCGCCTCGACCACCCCACATCGATATCATCCGTCTTTATCAGCTTTCCTGTCCTCATTGCATGATTCAATCTCTTCTGTATATTCTGCCTCTTTATTGTACTATCCACATGTTTATATATAAAACTCCACGTCTGTAACATCTCAGCCCAATTGTCTCGTCTGCATGTCTTAGCTCGATGTAGGGTTTCTGGCATTGCTTGGCCTATGAAAATTTTTTATTATTTTGTTTGTATGCAAATTTTAGCCAGCCAATGAGGTATTATTGTAAGTGGGTTAGAATTAATAATACTAATTTGTCATCAAATTATATGCTTTTGGTGATAATTAACCAGAGGTCACAGCCCCCTTTTCAATATTCAGTATCATCTTCGCGAAAGAAAACACAGGGGAGCTACAGCAATGGTCGGTCGAATAGGTAAGGCAAAAGCATGATAAAGTTGAAATTGAGGACCAAATTCATCAGCGAAATCTTCTTTATGAGTCAGAAATGACACATCCAATACGTGGAAAAACTTTTGCTCAAAAAAAAAAAAAAATTTTTTTTTTTTTTATTTTGAGGAAAAACTTCAGATTCATGTATTGCCTCCAAATGCAGAGAGACGAAAAATTAGCTAGGCTTAATGCGGTGAGTCACACCCTCATTATCAAGGACAAGGACAAGGACATGCAGCTAAGAGAAGAATCCACATCTCTTCCATTTTCTAACTTAAGTAATTTTTGTATACTGTAAAACTCGCACCTGAGAGCTGAGCTAAGACATGCGTCTGATATATTTAGGTAAGAAGCTGGATTGCTGTCTTTTACAGAAAAAATTTTACGTTCTTCTCGAACATATTTTTCAATCACTTTTTTATTTCATATATATCAAATCATTACATTATATTTTTTCAACAAAAACTCTTAAAAATAACAATTCGGACGAACTTTTAGAAGTTGGGGACTTGCTTAGATTTCGTATCCCAATAGTTGTTGATCTCCTCGTCTCTTTTTAACTAAGTTAACCTATTCCAAAGAAAACCTACAGCCACTAACTTACCCCGGCACTGATGACACAGCAGAGACAACAATGTGCCATTAATTATAGGAAAATGTTAAGTGTCTGTGATGCCGCAAAGGTGTTTCGAGTGCAACACTAATTTTGGCATAGAGATGTACGAGCACAAAGAGTGGTTGGATTGATCATTTTTTTTAAAAAATAAGTTTTTAAATACAATATTACAGTAATATATAATAACTCAAAAAACATCTCATCCATACAATATATCAAAATTTTTAAAAAAATTTTATAGTAAAAATTTTTCATACATACTGTTATTGTAAAATTTTTTAAAAATATTCAAAAAATAGTTAATCAAAACGGTGGTGTTTCACTGGATTCGACTACTGTGGGTACCGTCTGACTCTACGTATGGTAGATAAAAGAAGTCCGTTGAAACGAGAAATGGACACGTACGGTAAATTATTAATGCAATTGGAGTTTGTGATACAAAATGCACAAAGCATGATAGAAGACCCACACGCGCAGCCATTGGGGGATTAATTGGATTCCAAGCATGAAACAATAAAGACGGAAAAGTAATAGTAAATAATAAAAAAAATTACTGGTAGTGGAGGGGGTATGAAAATAAATACAATAAAATATAAGAAGGTACCGATTTGAAATATAAAATAACTATCAAGTGCAATTATTAGGGACATCTCAGCTATTTGCCGGACGGAGTACGTTGGCAAAAACGTTGAACTGAAAAATTAAATGGGTTAAGGGCACTAAGCTCCCTAATGTTTGGTGTCATTTGCGTGTTATCATTTTGTTTGACTAGTAAATTATTTGTTAAATTTTATTTGCTTTCGTCATTAACATATTTTTTAATTATTTTTTATCTCATATAGATCACATAAAAAGGTGCTATAATATTTTATTTTTTAAAAAAATTATTCCAAATAATCTACTATCCAAACGCTCTCATTTTTGCAGCTTACTCTTTGTTAATTCACATTAGATTTTACTAGTTAAAAAATGTCAAAAGTTTTAATACCGCCTTCATTTTCTTCTGTTCTGTTTTTCCTACCCAAGCTTTTCATGCCATCCATTTCTAGCCATAAAATTTTTTTTTGGTTTTTGGAAATCAAGAACTAAGATCCAACTATATTCCGTTTTTATTAAAAAGTAAATTTGAAACTTTTCTATTGTTAAAAAAAATTCCTCTTTAAATTATAAATATCAATAAATGGAGGTAAGATACAAAGGTTGTAAGATATATCTCATACATATGTATTTTTTTTAGCAATTGTTTGATGATGAAATTATTTTGTTTTATATCCTACAATATAGTTCAAGGGCATGTGATTTTCTTAAATAGTTGGATCCCATTTTTAAGAACACTCTCTGGAAGCCCAAAAAAAAAAAAAAAAAACAGAAGATCTTCTTTTTGAATATTGTTTCTACTAATTGTTATTTTGAGGTCACTAATGTCTTTTTTGCTAAATTATTCGCTCAAATCAATTAGTCAAAGGGAGAAAGTGCAACAAAAAATAATAATATGTTAGAGGAGAAAGTGTTTTTAGCACAAAGTTAATCTGCTCATAATAGGAAAGGGCTATAGTGAGTCAACTCGATTCGTGGGCTAATTTGGATAAAACGTAGAATAGTTTCAAACCTGATCAAATAATGCAATGAAATTTAAACATATTACAACTCATAAATTCACAATTGTCTCCAATAAATAAGGTATCACTGCGCATGAAATAGAACCTAACATGTGTAATATAGAAAATAGTTAATTTTTGTTTAATTATTTATAGTACCTAATTAGGTTGTAATTGATTTGTACTTTCCTCTGTACATAAAATTTAATGTATAATGGATAATTTAATCCTATAATAATAATGTTAATTTATGGGAACAAACAAATGAATTGTAAAAAAAAAAAAAAAAAAGCATCGTAGTAACTAGCAAGGAAGGATGTTGGGACTTTGATTAAACAAGGAGAAAAAATAAGGACGAATGTAAATATTGCCACTGAGCCCCACTGCTTCATAGTCAGGCGCGTTGTAACTAAGTGCTTCTACACGACTCGCCTCCGGGCCACAAAGCAAAGCGATCGAGATTTGATACAGCAACTTACGTGTCCATTTCGGCACGCAAGCGGGCTCTGTGGTGGTGGGAACCGTCAGACGACATTTTCCACTGTAGAGCGATCCAATCTGGAGTCTTGGATAAGTGAGGCGGCCGCGGATGTCGACTAATTACAGCACTAATAAAATAATTAAGAGTCTCCATCAGCGTCAGAGAGACAGAGTGAGTAGACATATACGGGCGGCCAATGCCGTTTGTGAGCACGGAACGGCAGCTGATTGAGAAGAAATCCAGTGCAGGCCTACTTTGTGAGCGTGGCCATCATATCACATGCTCATGTCATCTCGCACGCACCATATAGTTCTCGCTTTCTTTTGTGTTTTGGGGTCGCGAAAGGATAATTCTGGTGTCATCTGTTTTCTTTGCAAAGGTTATGAGCTGGCTAGATCAAGTAGTGATTAATCAATTAGTTGTATCCAGCGTTTCAAACCAGCTTAGAGAAGGAGAGAAAGATGGAGTTTTCGAGGACATGAGATTTGATTGTCAATTGCAAATAACCCCGGCGCTGGGAATGAAATTTTGATCTTTTGATGAACTATTTGCTTTTCATGTTGCCTTGTTTTCTTTGAATTTGTAGCATGCACGTAATTGGTAGTGATTCATGCTCCCTTAGGTTACTATTCTTCCATGGAACTTGATGACAAATTTCAAAATTTTGTGCCAGATGAGATACTGCTAGTTTCAGATAGCAAAATTTTCGATATGCTGCTGGTTCATAATTAATGTATCAGTCCAAATGCTCAGTTTATAAGTATGATCTGAGGAACAAAATAGATACAGGATGATCGATCCTAAGTCAAAGCTATGTTTTACATGGACTCTTTTTCCATTTTCTTTTCTGCTCTTCCAAGTCAGAAACTGGAAACCAACTGCTAGAGGTGGCTCCGAGGAATTCACAACCAGGCAGAGAATATATAGCACCAGCAAAAATATCAGCATCTTAGTGCGCAATGCCACTGTAAAGAGTCAACACGCCAGCATGCAATGAAGCCTCAGCTCGTGGAACAAGGTATACAGTTCCTCTGCAAGTGGAGTTCACTAATTTGATTTGGAACACAAGGCATTGAGTCTCACGATATTGCCAATGCTCGTATGCTACCCTTAAAAACTAAAAGGAGAACCAATCGTCCACGCATATGATAGTATATAACTGCGAGGGGGCAAAGAATGAGAGAGAAGGAAAATATGTTGAAAATCCTGGAAAACTCGGCCAAAAAGTAAATTGGCAGAAGATTTACCAGGCAGCGAAGATCCCTTCAGATAACGATCTTAAAGAAACCAAGAACATATAGCAAAAGAAGCCTATCGACCCTTCAGTGGATCTAAAATCATCAGAAGAAAATTTGTTTCATCTTCATGATATATTAGCTGAATGTACATGTCATGAAGGCCGTAAATACGCAGTGTAGTAAAAGAATTAGTGAGAAGATCCTGTCATCACGGTTCTGAGTCTCCTCAGCTCGGAGCAAGGTTCAGGCCAAACGATAAACGATATGATACGACACTATAGATAGAATATTAAATAGCAATATAGCATCAGCAGTAGTAGGGAAAGATATACATAACAGAAGAAACAACATATTTTGTAGCTGCTGACAGAAAAAAAAAAAAAAAAATGAAAGAGTGAGAGAGAATTTCTAAATTTCAGAAACGCACTGGAAAATTAAAGATCCCATAATCGATTGAGTGTAATCACCTTGATGACATTATAAGATCCCATAATGTCAAGCAATACATTACCAAATAAAACTTTAGGGTCCTTAGCATTAGCATTGTATTTTCAAGTCTGTCATCAAACCAAAACTAAAGAAATTCAAGAAAATAATCGCCACACAGTATCACACTTGGGAACCCAAAGTAAGCTTTGGTAATAATGATCAAGTCAGATCACATGATGGTGCAGTTATTGGCGGTATAATCATCATAGGGGTACGTATGTGGGCGGTACGACGATCCATAACCTTGATGGTAGTGATTGTAATAATTATAAGGATTCTGGTGATCTGCCATTGTCGACCTCCTTGGTGGGTAGAACTGCTGTTGCCATCCCGGGCTTCTGTACCTGCTATAGCTGTGGGGTTCATCGTAATTCCTGTAGCCATAGTTGCTGTAATTATGATAGTCATCACCGCGCGGGTTCATCACCGGATGCTTCAGCTTCACCCATGCCAGCTCCGCATGCTTCCCAGTTCTGGCTAATGCCTTGAGAAGCATGTTTGGATCCACCTCCCCGTACACTTTAGCCAGCCCTTCTTGTGCATCCAAGTCTACTGAATACACTCCTGCCAATCAGTTAAAAATGGAGAGAGGACATGAATTTTCATGCATATAAGGAGAACCGACCTCCTTTTATTGGAGGGATTTCTTCTGCTAATTCATAGTCAATTTAGATCCAGGGAGACTTCTAATTTTCTTTCATCATCTCCTAGCAACATTAGGCAGGCGGGCTAGAAAGGCAAGAAGGGGTAGTGTTGAAGCTACAAGAAGCCAAGTCATGTCTTCTGCCATCACAAATGCAGTACAGGTATTTGATATATAAAACTAGTGGATAAGAGTAATCTGTAACTTCCAAATTCATAGCATATGTTACATTTTTATTTTTTTTGTTCCATTTTCCTTCTACAATATTATAGTTCAATAATTATAATGCATGGTGCCAAAACATTAAATAATAGAACTCAATCTCATAACTTATAATTGCACAACTATATATTATATCATCATGTCGATGGCAATTTCAAGTGGACAAGAACCATAACTTAAACAAAATTTAATATGGATGATTACCAATAACAGAACTCAGCACTTCGACCACCTTCATCTTACACGCCTCACAATTGACATTCACTTTCAAGATACAACACTGCCATGCCATAATTGTAATAAATTAGCTACGTACAAATAGGTGTTTGCATTTTGAATTTTTTTTCCACAAAAAAAAAAAAAGGGTACCACTTACTGCATCTGCATAAGGCTCCATTGCACCACTGACGGAAATATCACCAACTGATCCAAGAGAAACAAGAAAAAATACACTAATCATGCTTTTGACTGTTAATAAAAAAAAATTAATTGTATACCAATCACCCACCATGATTACTTATCCAAGATTCAGTAAAATATGATATGTAAACAATTACTTGAAAAGAAGCAAAAAAAAATATATATATATATATATAATAATAATAATAATAATTTTTTTTTCCCAACAACATATATAATGCATCAGGCAATAATATTTAATTTTAAAGACAGACGAGAGACCAAACAATAATACATGCATCAAGAAGAAGAAGTATTGAGACGCACGAGAGAAACCAAAAAACAGGAAGGGAACCTCTTGATTGCCTTGAGTACTACTACTGCTAGGGATTTGGGCAATTGTAACGGTACATCCCTCGCGCAACAACAACGTATGTATATATATAAAAGAAAATCTTATGGTTTTGGTAGCCAATTCTGTAATATTGGAAAATGAGGCCTTAACATAGAAATAGAACCTATATATTATGAGAATCAAAATTTCCATTATGAGGTTTTGGATATAGAAATAGAAGTTGTAAGAATGCATTAATTTCCTTATATACTGGAATTGAATATTGCTTGAAATATTTTAAGAAATGCTACTAGAAGTTAATTGCTTCGCGAGAAGGAAAAGGAAAGAAAAGCTGCCTCGACCTTGAGGGTGTAAATTTGCGGTACGTACAGCTTTGTTAATCTAAGTTTCCTCAAATATTTTACGAATAGCTGCTATTTTAAGAATAGGAAAGAAATATTCTTGAGATTGCTATAAAATTTTGTGAAAATAAATATCCTTGTATAATACAATTGAACATGGTTTAAAGTATATTAAGAGTAAGAATTTTTTTTGGGGACATAGAAATTACCATGTGAATACATACAATCACAATTATTGCACCTCGTGCATTCAGACACCTACCTTTTTTTTTTTCAAATTAATTACAATTTTTTAGCACATAAAAATTACGCTAAACTTATCATGTGAATACATACGATCACAATTATTGCACCTCGTGCATTCAGACACCTTTTTGAAATTAATTACAAATACTCCTACCCACATGACAGTACTAACATTATTGGAGGAGCAATTTGTCTACTGAAAACTTCTAATGCCATCAAAAATGTCATCGGACTGGGTTTTGCGCATTCAAAATTCAAATATATGGTGCGAAAGTGTGAGCATATTGATTTGAAGCCTAACAGGATTTGTCGGCATTTATGCAGCGAATATTAATTTTGCATCAAATTTTTATATAGAAAGAGTTAAACTAGTGATATCATATTTCAATTTTTCTTTTCAACTAGATCCGGGTAAAATCTCTTCATAATTCATATACGATATTCAAAATCCAGCAGAACATACGTATCGAACAAGAAGCCTGTAGACATGAAACTGTCAAAAGACAATTTGCTTTATCTTTAATGACTATAATGTGGAAAAGTCTGAAGTAACGATAGTTATGGTAACGAAACTACTTTTACCTGATATAACAGGTAAAAATACTTTTAGCGACCATTTGATGACCTGTTGTACTGGTCATCTAAATAAAATAGTACCTAAAATTTTGGTTAGTAAGTTTTGCATAAAAAATAGTAAGTTAACTCGATATATTAGTAAATTTTATGTCTCAAAAAGTAAACTTGAATAAATATGGAACTAACTCTTTTTTTTGAAGTAAAATACTACTCTATATCTGAAACCTAGTTTTTGGAGTGTAAGTTTAGTTCAAGTAATAATAAGTTTTTATAGATTAATAGTAAATATTGTTGATAGAATAGTAAATTTGGTTAATCATCAAAACTTAATAGTTTGTGGCATAAATTTACTATTTTACTTAAAGAAACTTACAATTGTACGTATCATTTATAAATGTTATATGTTTGAAACATTTTAAATATACTATGAAAACTTTTTTTTTTTTGCATATGACCTTATAAAATATGTAAGAATAATTTGTCATATTTTAAATTTTTAATTATGGAAAAATAAACAACTAAGTTCCCAAAATATTTCACTTTTATTGTTAAAAAAATCTCAACTTGTTGGTTAAATTCAAAATAATTCTATTGTCAAAACTACTTTTTCTCAAATTAACTTTCATGATTAGATGTGAGATACAAATATGGTAAAATATCCCTCATACATATGTCAAGGATATTTCAGACTTTTAGTAAAAAAAAATTTTGTTGTTAAAATAACATATATCATAGTGTACTAATTATTTTAGGACCATTTTATAGGTGAACTAAATTTAATTAAAATTATACAATAGATTATACATGCATGTGATTTTCATTTATAATTATTGGATCCTATTCTTATGAACAATCTCCTAAGGAAAAAAATCAAGATCATACTGATTTTCTTATATTAATTGTTATACTAATTTTGTCATTTTTATTATTATATTATTTCTCATTTTGTTTAGGCTTTTACTCTTATTATTTCTTGTGTCTCAAATGTAAATTTATTAAAACTTTATCATCCTATTATATTCATAGGTGTTAAATTATAAAAATTTTGATATATAAACAAATAATATTCTATATATAACTAGGAAGATTTGTTGTTATTGTTATTCGAGCTTTCAAACCTTTCAAAAATTGAAAATGATTAAAAGGTTATAATACGACAAAATTTTATTAAATATTTTACAAGATTATGTGAAAAGTCAAACTATTTTTCATAGTATTTTAAAATATCTAAATAATTTTTTTAAATTATACCTATAATCATGTATTATACAGGTATATTATGAGTACTTACTAACTAAGGTACTAAGAATTAATCATTAATAAAACATCTTATCGTTATTTCAAATGAATTTCCTAATACTAGTTTGAAATATGTTTTAAAATAAAATAGCACATGTGTCCCATAAATCAGTAAGTTTTGATTATTAATCAATTTACCATGTTATTAGTAAGAGTTACTATTTATGTATAAAAACTTACTATTACCTGAATTAAACTTACTCTCTAAAAAGTAAGTTTGGGAAATAAAGTAGTAATTTATTTATTTAAAAAGTAAGTTTAATATTTATTCCAACTTACCTTTTGAAGTATAAAAGTTACTAATTTATTACTGTTAACTTATTATTTTAGATAGAAAACTTACTAGAATAGTAAATTTGGTTAACCATCAAGACTTACTAGTTTGTGGCATAAATTTACTATTTTACTTAAAGAAACTTATATGAAACAAGTATTAGGAAGTTTATTTAAAATAATACTAACACTTTTTTATTAATGATTGAAATTTAATATTATAGTTAGTAATTGTTGGTAACGTAAATGTATAATATATGATTGTGTGTATCATTCATCAATGTTATGTGTTTTAAGCATTTTAATAAATGTATGTATAATTTACAAAGGTTATGTGTTCTAATAAATTTATTTTCTAGGTCACAAGTATAAAAGTTAAATTTGTACTAATGTGGCATAATCTTTGAAAACTATAGTAAATTTATCCACATATTTAGTTCCGTGAGATTCAAATATATTTTGTATCATTTACAATATGGATTTATATGCACATTTTTTTATCAAACTTACTTTTAATTGGCAAATAGTATGTAAATTATTAAAAATGGCATTTTATAATAATCATAATTTTTATAGGTGAATTGTATATAAATTGCTAAAATTGCCAATTTATAAATGATCAAATGTTACTACTTTATGGCATATATTAGTTTGGTCAACTAAAAAATTATCGTAATTAAGTGTACGTTGGTTGTTGAATTGAAATTTGCACCCCTGTCACTATTTTGTTATTTCTACCACAAGTTTTTCTAATCAAAGTAAAACAAAGTCAAATATCTTTTCCTTTTGTATACAGTATTTATATTTAGTTAAAAATTAATAAACCATGATTACATTTCATAATTTCTAATGAAATTAGTAACATTTTCTAAATAAATTGGAATAATCTGTAAAATATGTTATTTTTTTACCAATATAATTAGGGGTGACAATCGGGTCCAAATCGGAGTGGCGGGTCGGGTTGAGACCCAGGTATAAGAGAAAACTGGATGACCCGAACTTGACCCGCCAAGCCGAAATCGGTCAGGATATCTGACCCAAATCTGAAAATTCCAGGTTGTCTGGTTGGCGGGAGGACCCGAATGACCCAAAACTTAATTTTAATTTATTAATTTACCACTATAATTTCTAATTCACACAAGGTAGATATACCATCCAACATATGAATGGCAACACGGGGTAAAGATGAATTGTAATATATTTGCAGCCAATCAATCTTGTTGCAAACATGCTTCGGATAGACTTTGAGGAGAACCATAAAGATCAAACATATAACACATGGTACATGCCAACTTTCTTCACGGTAGGTTGACATATCATTAACGGATTATGTTTGTCATCAATTCATATTTTTTTGAAAATTTTGTGAATTGTGATAAAATTGTGCAGTGCAAATTACAAACTGCCGAACCTGACCTTACAACTATTTCAATATATTTTGATGCTGATAGATATGGAGGAGACATTGAGATGTGTGAGAAGGTTCATTAAATAATGCTTAAAATTTATGCATATTTTTTGGGTTTTAAACTAATTTTTATTAAGTAATTACATGTTCTTGGCAGATATTTGTCCCAATAAATGAAGATAACCAACATTGGTATTGCACACTAGTTGACTTTGGCGAAAAGAAAGTGTACATATTGGATTCGTTGCCTAATTCAACAAAGCAACGAGGTGTTGTGGTTAGAAAGTTAGTAAGTATCATTTTAAGTTGTGTAGCAAATAATGATACGGAAATTTTGTGTTACAATCGCGATTTTATTTTTGGATAATAGGTTCAGGATCTTGATACTGTACTACAGCACAAATTTGGGGATAAGTACAAGTTTCAGGCATCGTTATTTGAAGTTGACGAATCTGCTAACATTCCTAAACAGCTGAATGGGTAACTTTCATTAATTATGCTGTTGTGCAGTGCATTGGAATCTCTTCTCTCATTTATTGTGATGATTGATTTACATGCAGCTATGATTGTGGTGTATACGTTATTAATTTCATGAAGTCATCTGAAGTGGAACAAATGAGTTCACTCATGGTACAGTTTTGTAATTTAATATGCATTTTTTGTGGTAAATAATTTTAAATGTCATTGTAACCGTTATCTTTACTTGCATGGTTAACTCACTAATTCTATTATGGTGTCATGAATTTTCAGTTTCAATCCGAGACTGAACGTTTTAACATTGCAATGGAATTGGTCCTACACCGTAAGAATGCATGGGGATTTCTTCTACAAGATCATCTGCAGAGAAGATGAACAATACAAGTCTTCGTAGTTGGGAAAAAATTCTAATTTAT